CCAGCTACCTCCACGTCAACCCAAACCCCACAACGATGCCCCAGGTCCGATAGAGTTCGAGCATGGCCCTACCAAGGAAACGAGATATCCTGAAATCCTTGGCCAGCTAGGCGAGATCCCAAACGCAACACAGCTGATGACGTCCTACAGCGCTTATCATAGGCGAGTAGCATAGTTTTGTGCATCTTACGCACTCTCAAACCCTCAACCCCGAAGCCCCTTGAACCTCTGACCCGAACGCACGACGTCCTTCGTTTCCAGGGCCTCAAGATTGGATTGAGGGGTTTACAGGGTTTAGGGTTGAGGTTTCAGGATGCAGCATGACATGATGCCACAGTCCAACTCACCTTGCAGCAGTTTACTGTACCTTGTTTTATGATACCCAACAGTTTACTATGCTTCGTATGGCGGTTGTGTCGTGTTGGGTGGATTGGTATGCTATCTTGACTTCCGCTTATGTCATATTGCATTCTGTTGCACCATGCCAAACTCTAATCCATTATCCCTAGCCCTAACCCTTCAAAAAACCTTCCTGTTGACATGTGTCAAGCAAGAACACGCCAAAAAACTGAAATAATGCCTAAACCCCAAGCGTTCCACAACGACACGCCCGCGAGGAGGGCGAGGAGCCCTGGGCGCTCTGGCCGCTGGCGGGATGTGACCTGGAGACTTGGCCGTTTCGGACTCAGGGGATGTTGCGCCTCCTTGAACCCCTCTTTTGAGAATCAGCTTCCCTGATGTTCTCTTTCTGATTTTAGGTGGAGTGTGCTGAAGAGCTGAAGCTCAGTGTCTCTCCGAGGAGATGGATTGGGGCCGTGGATGCAGGAGCTATCAGTAAGTAGTGCCGAGCCTGTTTGAATTGCTACGGTTTTTTCGTTCTGAGCCTGGTCGTGCTCATAGTGCCAAATGACTCCCCACAATTGCGCTGTCAACTTGACAGCTAGCCGCGACTAACGAGCTTGACGCGAAAAAGGAGCCATGGTTTTGGGATTTGGGTGAGTAAGGTTGAGAGCGTGAGGAATTCGGAAGAGAGCTTTTAGTTCAAAAGGTCAAGATTTCTTTTCCCAAGGCCTGCCCAGGTTCTGCATTCCCTTCTTGGGCGTAGGGCGTAGAGCCCCGTACATTTAGTGCTGCACTTGGCCTGTGTATTTCGTGTGTGTGGCCCTGAAAGCATACCGAGAGTCCTCCTGTCTTCTTCAGATGCCGTTACGATGTTGTTTCAAAAAAACATCTTGGATGGTTAATGCAAGGATGAAGGTTCCAGATGATGATTCTGATGTTCCCCAGCCCCAGCGCTCACCGCCTTCATCATGTGCTTCGAGCATCACGAGAGAAGACGGCGACCCTGGCTCATGAGGGCACGGAAAACTGCAGGATAAACCTGCGTACATGTTCAGACAAAGGCGACGTCGCCTCAGCCATCCATATCAGGAAACGACTCGGCTCTTCAGGCATCTTTCCTGACTGCTCTTGCTTCTACTACTGCTACATGATATTACTTCTATTGCCATTTCTACTACGTATATTGATTACTATTCCTGCTACTACTACTACTACTACTACGACGACGACGACTACTACTACTACTCCTACTACTACCACTACTACTACTACTACTACTACTACTACTACTACTCCTACTGCTACTGGTGCTAGTACTAAGAGTCCTCCTCTTCCTCCTGCTCCTGCTGCAGCGGTTCCTCGAGCAAGTGAACGAGTTGATAAGCATTATGTTTTCTCTTGATTCCGTCAAAATGCGTTGCGCTCGTTGCCGCCGTTTGGGGCTGGAACGTCTTCGCACAAGCGGAAAGCCGAGTCTGGCTGGGGTTACGGGTTAGGTTCAGCGTCGTGAACCTGAGCTTCTAGACTCGTCCACCGTAGTCTGCTCACCGTTTCGCTTTGGTACAATGGCCGGTCTAGCAGCTTGTTCACTGCCATACTACACAGATGACCGAAGATCCTAAACCCTGAACCGGTTGCCACAGCACACTGCCACATGTACAGCATGACGAACCCCAAGCCTTGAACGTAAACCCAAAACCTTTGTCCTCTCTGGCTGCTGTCTCCCTCTGCGCGCTGAGCAGCAGGTCGAACATGCCTTGGGGGGTAGTTTGGAAAATCTGGCTACTACGACGACGACGAGTACTACTACTACTACTACTACTTCTTCTACTCGTCTGGGTTTGGTGTTGGGGGGTTTGCCGGTTTGGATTGCGAGGTTCAGGGCTTCTAGGCTTTGAGGCTAAGGGTTCTTAGTTCAGGGCACAAAATGGCCCGCCCCCAAGACTCGGGTAAAGAAAAGCATTGAACATTGCGATAAACAGGTTTCTACACCGTTGAAGTTGGATGATGTTGAAGGGGTAAATTTGATAGCAAGAAATATTTCCACGAGTCACTGTTAGCCAGTCGCATAAGGGTTGTTTCTAAAATTAACAGTGGACGTATCTGCCTGGTTGTTTAGAGCGCTTTATGCTGCAATCCTATGCTTCGCAGGGCCTGTACCGCAATCCTCTCTGTGCCCCAACACCTAGCCCCTGCACTCCAAGACCCAGGTGCCATGGACGTGGAGTTCAGCCTGGCGCAGCAGCTTCACGGGCATGCAAGCCAGGCGGAGAATCCATTGCTGCTACTCAAGTTCGACCGTGGGCATGCCTAGAAGAGTGCATAGGAGATGTTTCGTGCCCCCTCACATCTGTAGTAGCTCTGGGTTTCTTTGAGAAGTTTTGCTGTTCTAGTTCGTTATGCTACGTTTGTTGCTCTTGCTGCCCCTCTATGGATGCCCCCTGAACCCGAAACTGAAACCGCCGAGCCCCGGAACCCTTAGCCCTAAAAACACTTCAGCCAAGGCTGGTCTCTGGAGCCAAGGATTCCCAGGCCCAATTGCAGCGGCATTTCAAGCTGGGAAAGGCTTCTGCGTGGGAGGGCGGGTATTTAGACTTTTCAGAAAGGAGAAGATTGCGTGTAGGACTCGACTGACATATATATATATATACATATATATACACACACACACACATATATATATATATATATACATACATATATATATATATATATTTATATATATATGTGTGTATATTTTGTTTATATATATATATACTGTTTTTTCCTTGGGTTTTGGCGCCCAACCCCAAGACGAGATGCTTGTTTTGTGGTTCGGGACACACATGATGTGGTTCATGGTCAACTACTGGGTCCCTCGTGCGGCTTGGCCCCACATGGGGTTCTAGGGCATGCGGCACCGGCAGTCTTGATGAGATCTCAGGGATTCCTTGATGAGTGCTTTCCTTAAGGCCAGTCGGGCCCTTTCACTTGGTTGCATCAAAATCAAGTTTCCGAAATTGCAATTCTGAACATTGGCCGTGCAGCAAAGCTTGCATTGGAGCCGACGTGTTGAGTTCTGGCCCGCTCAAGTGCCACTTGAAGGTCTTTATCTGGAGACGGCCGGCCGACTGCTCAAGATTTGAATTTGCAGGGCCCCAAGACGTTCGAACAAGTGTAAACAGAGAGAATGCCTGCACAGGGTCTGGAATTTGGGATCTTCGTTGGCTTACTACCTGCTGCTCTTTAGAAAGGGATTCTTGCTCTAATTTCTCACTACAGACCTCAGTGACGTCATGGACATCTTCATCTCGGTTTCTACCATCCGACCCAATATGCCATTTTCGGAAAGACTACTTGTAGGTTCGACCCATGCAGAACAGACCAATAGTAACAGACAGGGCCTCGGTCCAGATCCTGGTTTGGAGAGTGCGTGGACATCCGTACAAAAAGGGGCGGCGGCCGTCCAACTAAATGCTCCTGAACATGGTCACTGTTAAACTACCCCACCAGACTGACTATCTGCAGGAAGCAGTCGAAAAGAGGAAGGTAAGAAAAGCTTGACCGAGAGGTTCAGCTGTAGCCGGTCAGTATACCTTGGTAACCTAGGCACAGCTGGTCTTAATGTTGCTGCCTCTGCCCCTGCTCCGGATCCCGTGGCTGCTACTGCTTCTTCGGCTTGCTAGTGCTGCAGCTGCGACTGCTGACGCTATTCTTGTTGACTGCTACTGGCACTGCGGCCAGTGCTGCGGCGGCGGCAAGGACAACTGCTGCTGCTGCTACTGCGAGCGAGGAGTGCACGGCAGGTGCTTCCCTGTCCGTACTGCAAGCATGCACACCAGGACTAACAAACACCTTTGCATGCTTACTATAGGGGCCGAAATAACTAGCCAATACTGCGAACAGACCTCGATGCCTCTCACAATTATGAGGTATCGCTAAATGAGCTTGAGACATGTACACTTGTGTCATGGAACAGCACTGTTTTGCAGGCTGTCTTCCACAATCCTTTTCTCCTAGCACATGACACTGTTTTGCAGG